ATGAATAACTATCTCACAGGCAACGGTTATGGTTTCAGTAGAGTAAAAGCTTCTTTGTGCACGGATTCTATCTTAGCTAAAGTCATAATCCCAGTGTCTAGCAAATAAATAATAGGTGCTCAATAAATCTTAACAGAGTAGATGGATAACACAAATGTAAAGCTAAAAAGTGAGAAAGACATCATACACAATGCCACTGGATGACATTTCTCTCTTCCTTTACACTGTTGCAGACTAATGCAAAAGAATCTTCCCTTCCCCTCCCTTTCCCCCCGTGGAACCCATCTTCAGTATTCTGTCCATATCACAGGCAGACCCTAGCATGGAAACTTCAGGTCCCCAGTGCAACCTGGTCATAACTCAGGTCATTATAGGGCAGATTTTATATTTTAAATCCATAGAAGTACTCCCTAAGACAAACTCACTTGTAGGGTTCGAAATTCTACAAGAGCAAGAACTGTGTGTTATATTTATAATTGGTTCTCACTTCTAATATTTGCCTAATATAGAGTAGGCAACATAATAGCATGTGTAAAGGCTATGTAACCAGAGAGAGCAGAAAAGAGGGCCTTTTAAAAAGGCCAACGTGGCCGATGGGCGAAGAGTGGGCAGAATGTCATGTGGGATGTCCAGACCATCATAGGCCATGTGAAGTTCTGTCTCTCTCTTGAGAACAACAGGAAGTCATGGAAAACTTTTAAACAGGTGGTTGGCAGAGGAGGGAGGAAGGAAAGGGACATGATCAGATTTGCATTTTGAAAAGATCACACTCCATAGTGTGCAGAAGAGACTGGTTGTGTGGGAGAAAGGGGATGAGGGGACAAAGGAGTGTTAGTGTGTAGAGTGAGTGCAGACCAATAAGGAGCCTGATGCAACAATCCATTAAAGACATAATGGTAGCTTGGTCCAAGGTGGCAGAGATTGAAAAAATGGACCGGTTTACCGACGTATTTAAACAAATCAACAGGACTTGATTTGGGGAATGAGACAGAAAAACACTCCATTCTTCTGAAACTCAAGGCTTCGCCTGTAAAACCGGGCTGTTGATACTCCATCTGCATAATATCTATCTTGAAATCTGCTGCAGTGAGAATATGAAATATAAATTTTACGAACTTAACGCAGAAACTGACATGTAATAAATGCTTGTAATAAATGACAATAAATAAATGCATGTAACAAATGACAAAACAAAACGTCGCTACAGATGTTATTATTGCCATCCCATGGAACGGCAACTACCTGAGGCTGAACCCCAAAGGTAGAAAATAGGATTGTAGTTAGATTCATACCCGCTGTGCTGAAGACACAGAACAAAACAGGCAACCACTGAGACAACTGTTCCAAATAAATACATCTGGCCGCACAGATATTTCATCTGAACCAATCTCGTCCTCAGAAATCATTACCGAAGAGAACGCACAACTGTTACGATCACAGTCATCTGAGAGTCCGGTAAACTGAGGCACAGGGTAGCCACAAAGCTGACCAAGAAATGAAGTGCAGAAGCAGGAAAAGGAAATGGGTGTCGTGATTCTCATTGGTGAGCTGATCCAACAGGATGCTAGGCCTGCATCCTGAGCAGCACGAATGTAATATACCCCAATGTCTCTGGTTCCCTTGCTGACAAGGCCTTGTCATCCCCTGGCTTAAGACCGTGCGTCCGTTCGCCAGGCAGCCAAGCCCTTCCGGTTCCCGGCCCCTAGCTATACGTGCACCAAAGATCCCAGACTCTGGAGAAGTCCACATACCTTAGCTTCGCGCTCTCGTTCCTCGGCGGTCGGGGTCCGCTTCATGCTGCCGCTACAGCCGCCTTCGCCACTGCTAGCCGCGTAGATTCCTCGCTCTGGACCCCGCCTCCTGCATGTAGTTCTCTCGGCGTCCTGCTTCCGCCCAGCTCCATGCTCCTTCAGAGCCTCGAGAACTACCCTTCCCAGGATGCAAGGCGGCGACGCCCGAGAGAGCCTCGGGGTTTGGGGCAGGAGAATTTCCCAGGGCCGACAGCTACGCAGCGAGAGGGCGGGCGAGGGCCGGAGGAAAACTACATTTCCCAGGAGGCAACGGAGCCTGCCATGTTTTTCCCGTGCTCCTCACGGCCAGCAGCCCAGCACGCTGTCGGCGCTATAGCAACGGCAGCTAGCTGCGGGGAGACAGTGGCGGTGAGTACTCTGGGGGAGGTGAGGGGGACGGAGGTGGCCCCACCCTCTACCTACAGCACGGGTGGGGGTCCTGGCATCCGCTCTACGGCCTAGAGAAGGCCCTAGAGTTCTGCTTGCGTGAAAAGCAGCCCAGCACGAGACACCACATCCTCAGGCCTGAATCACAGCCCGCCCATTATCCCCAGGCCCAGCACCGGTTTGAAATTTTACAGCCCAGCCTTAAACCAGGCTGATGAGAGTTGATGCTGCCTGCCGTGCCTTTCCAAGTCCTCCTTCATATAGAAGGGCACATAAACACAATTCGCTCCTTAAACTTGGGTTAAGAGTTGGTTGGTAGCCCCTTTAGCCTCTTAAATGGCCTATTGTTGGCTTAATGATTTATAATTACTTGTTTATGGTTTGATTACCCCATAGCCTGTTAACTACAGACAGGCGGGGATTTTGTTTACCATTTTAGTCTCAAAGCCAGGTTTTCATTTAAACATTCAGTAAATATTAATGTCGGTCTTGGATCAGTGCCTTGCATCAGGCCCTGTTCCCTACAGCTGTGAACAGGACTGATACCCGTCTCAAGATGCTTCTGCTTTACTTACTAGGTGACAAACTGGTAGTCAACTAGTAAACAAATAAGACGATTTTAGGTAGAGATGACTGCTACAACAGAAATACACAGTGATGAAACTGGAGGGAAAGTAACCATAGGATGATCAGGGAAGACATCTCTGAGGAAGTGGCATTTGAGCTGAGCCCCAGAGAATGAGGAGCCAGCTAATGCAAAGGCTTTGAACAAGGCGAAGGGGACCCTGGATTTGAGGAACCTAATGTAGGAGTGTGATTGGTCATGGTGAGCAAGGAGGGATGACATGAGATGGTATGGAGAGGTGTTACAGCGTGGTGCAGGATTTCTCAGCCTCGGCATTGTTAACTTGTGGGGCCAGGTAATTAATTCTTTGCTGTGGTTCCCGTGTACTGTAGGATGTTTCACATCATCTCTGGCCTCTGGATGCCAGTAACACTGCCCTCCACCTTCCCAACCATGACAAAAATGTGACCAGACGCCTACTTCTTAGGTGTGTGACCTTAGGCAAGCTCCCTAGGATGTGTCCAGGTTTTTTCATTTGTAAAGTAAGAACCATTTGTGTAACAACCTCACAGGGATATTGTGAGATAATTGACTAATTCCTAATCAGAGCACTCAGAAGAGTGTCTGGCACATTTTAGTAAGCATTCAGTAAGTAAACGTTAACTATCATCATCGTCGTGATCATGAAAGCTACCATAACTCTGTCATGGCAACGTTACCGTTTTCACAAGTGTCCTATGTTTAAACTGTTGATGATTTGCTTCCTAAAATCGACCTTTTCTGTAGTAGTGTTTCCAGAAGTAGGAGATGATCTCTCAGGTCTATGTCTGTTAATTGTTTGTGTCACGACTGAATGCAGTGGTTCTCAGCCTTCGGTAAGTTACAGTAAAAGTTATGAGCCCTTTCCCTAAAAGATAGTGTGCATATACAAATATGCATACAAGATTTGATAAACCATCTCTTGGGTCCCCAGACCCTAAAGCTCCATGGATTCCCTTCATTCAACAAGTATTTAGCAAATGCCTGCTATGTGCCAAGCTCTGTGCTAGCCTCTGAGAGTACAGGACAGAGGTACCAGGACAAATTTGGTACTCTCTTGGACTTTACATTCTAGGCCCGCCGTTCTAGAGATTGAGAACCTCTGCCTTAGGGCATCTCACTGGTAGTTTGCATTTGGCTTTCGAGGTAATTTGAAATGAAAATACGAAATCTTTCTTTTTCCGCATATTAGACATTGCACGGACCATTTACATCCACATACAAAACTGAGTTACTGTGGGGCATCTCTGTGAACAATAGAAACTGTAAAGATGCCAGAATTAACTGGACAGCTTGTATGTTGAGGTAGGAAGCCCTGGGACTAGGCCTCGTGGCGACAGAGACAGGACAGAACAAAAACTCAGTGGGCGAATTTATGAAGCATCTTTTTGCAAAACTTGGACCTACCCACTCATTTGCGCACCAAACTGGAAATTAATATTCAAGTAGTATTGACCTCCCAGGCAAATGTGCTCACTGCTATTAGTTTACCATCTCACCCTTAGAATAACTCTGTGAGATCGGTATTATTTTCTCCATTTTTGAAGTTAAGGAACTGAGGCACCTGGCTGGCTCAGTTGTCGGTAGAGCGTGTGACTTCTGATCTCCAGGTCATGAGTTTGAGCCCCATGCTGGGGGTAGAGTTTACTTGTATACATACATATATACTATGTAAGGGTGTGTGTGTGTGTGTGTGTGTGTGTGTGTGTGTGTGTGTGTGTGTGTAAAACAAAGTAAGATGACCTTTTAAGAAATACTGAGATTAAGGAACCGAAACTCAGACTAGGTGACTTCACCAGCTAGTAAATAATAGAACAACCATTTGAATCAAGTTTCTGACTGGTTTTTTTCAAGGTACCTGCTTGCTTTGGGGGGCACAAAAGGGAAAGGGGAATGGAGAGGAAAGTATTTCTTAAATTAGGGGGGAGTTTGTTTTTGTTTCAGACAGAGAAATAAGAAGAGAGAAGGAAGAATGATAATCTTACCTCATTTCCTAAGCAAACTATAGGAAATACACTGTTGAAAGGAACACTGTCTCCATGATTGAACGTAGTATTACTTTTAAAATGAAGCTTTCATCTTCTTCAAGCAGCACATGTGAGCATTAAGAAGTCCATTAAAGTCATAGTGCCTTATTCATTTTATTTGGTTCATTCCATTGCATAATGTTGTATGTTGAGAAGATTTTATTTGAATTTTCTTTTCTCCGCAGACAGGCCATGTCTGGTCCAACTGATGAGACGGCAGGAGACCTGCCTGTGAAAGATACAGGTCTAAACCTCTCTGGAATGGGAGGGTTACAAGGTACGGCCAGCTGTTATTTATTATCATTATGAACTTTGATCAGTAACTTCTTTTCTGTTAATTTAAAGTATTTCTGATATCCTCACCAATGAAGCCGTTTAAGTAACTATATAGCTCTTGATTGGACTAAACAGGCACATGGAGAGTTTAGAACAACATATGGTATTTTACTGCATGCATCAATTATCAACAGCTCATAGAAACTGTAAAATCCCCCTCTGTTCTGATAAAGAATTGTTATAAATCATCTTTTTAAAATTCCACACATCAGTAGGAACTACGCAGAGAGTATCAAGCCTCCAAACCGAATTGCCTGGTTTAAATCACATTCACCATTAAAATGTTTCTTTATGTTGAAATTTTATATGGCAGGAAATGCCATATTTAAAAATTTTTGCCTTTCAAGTAGAGTACCTCAAAATGGTTTGTTTATCCAAGCGATATTGACTTTGTTTTATCAAATTAATATACATTAAAGGTTTTCCTTATCCTTTTATCACTTAGTGGTTGCTATAGAGCTCAAGAAGCACTTTAAAATTGAAAAAGTAAAATAACTGCTTTGAGGAACAATTGAGAGTGTAGAGCTATGTTTTTATGTATACAGCATGTCGTGCCAGTGCATTTGTCATTGAGATGGCTGGGATGTAAAATACACTCCACTAAGGTGTCTTCATACACCTGTTCGTTAGAACAGTTCAAGTGGCCACCTTGAACTACCACAGAAAGGTGGTCAGTATGCTTTTTATTGAAAAAGATACGTCCAAGTCTACAGATTCTATTTTTTAAAATGAAAAGTATGTATAAGCTTTGTTTTAGGTCTTTGGTAGAGTACCAAGTATTCAAATACCAATAAATTTTAATTGTGCAAAGCTATTTATTGGAATTTGCTACTTTAAGTTCAATTCTTGCCCTCAGGAACGCACCTAGGGGCTTTAATCTTTGTCCATTTGTTCTTTGTTTCTTTTGGATGATTGATGAAAATTAGCCAATGATATGGAAAATACCAAATTTAAGCATATATAAAAAAAAATACATATACATGCTGAAAGATATAAAAGTTCTTTTAAAATATGTAAAATAGCTTATAAATTTGTAAAGGTTGGTTGATTTCGTTGTGTGGACTTGCAAATTTTACAGTTTATGTTCTGTAACCCAAAACACATACATAGCTCTGAAATATATCCTGTGTTCACCAAATTATTGTTACAACTCTTTTGTAAAAAACAAACAAAAAAAAACCTTTCAGATACTTTGACTTTTAATTTGTTTTTTTCAACATTGAGCATATAAATTGAAAATCTTATTCGATCAGAATTCTCTTACAGTCTTAAAGAATGGTCATTTCAATATCGTTTGAATGGATATTATTATTGCTGAAATCCTTAAGATTGCACATAAACTGTAATAGCAAAGATTTTTATTCTCCCCTCTGCTTGGTGACGTAAACAATGTTATAACATTTTCTACAACAATCTTAATTATATGTCAGAAAGGAACAAAGATGAGTGCATCAGAGATTATATTAATATCAACTGTTACCATTTTTAGAGACTATGTTAAGTAATCCCACTGTTAATTACCTTGGCATTTTTACAGAAACTTCAACAACACGGACAATGAAGTCTCGCCAGGCAGTGTCACGTATCAGTCGTGAGGAACTGGAAGACAGATTTTTGCGTTTGCATGATGAGAACATTTTACTTAAACAGCATGCCCACAAGCAAGAGGATAAAATTAAAAGGTTATGATAAAAAGCTTTTAGCTTTTTTTCCTGACTCTGTAAAGTTTGGAGGATATGCTGTTTTATAAACTTAATTGAAAACTCCACCTGGAATCTTTTTTGGAACAAGGCAGGTTGTAAATAAATACAATTTTTAAAAATGGAAAATCTTACAAAATAGAATAATAAACCAAAAAGATTATGAGTGTTTATTATGTCTGAAGTTGCTATTTGAAAGCAAGAGCTAATAACTAAGAGTACAAGTGTATCATATCTATAAATAACTTCTGGTTTAATATTTATAGTTTAATAAGCAAATGGCCAAAGCATCTGTTTTTTAAATGTCTTGGTTTTAAAATGAAAGTTTGAAAAAGTAATTAGCTATTCTAACTTGTTAGGATACACGTTCCCTTAAGATTGGGGGTTTACTAATGAAAACCTCACTTCAATGTCTGGAACATATTTAACTTTGCTTGGATTAGTCTAGAACCTATATTTCAAAGAGTCCTTACTGTTCCTAAAGACACATTGTCACTTGATTTGTGTGCAAGAAATTTTTGCAGGGGTAACTTCTTAAGAGTAGACTTTCTTTCATTCTTTCTTGTTCACAAACACCATTACTATCTTTGGAATGTATGGCCTTAAAAACAAAGAAGTACATTCCCATTTGTAAGCTTGCACAGGCCTGTATTCATATTCATGTTCTAGGCTAAATGGAAAGGTGGGACAGCCATGGAAGAAAGATGATGGTATGGGGTGGGGGGGTGGGGAGGAGGTCTTTTCTGATTAGAATTTATCCTGCTAAGAATTTATCTGTACTCTGTGGGCTTTGTTTTAATGACTCACTGACCTGCTGGGTGGGGGGCTTTTGAGTTCATTTTTGAGTCCTGATAACATGGTTTTTCAAGACCTGTGATTCGCTTACCTGATTCCTTTTCTGACCAGTAACACACACATGTCCTATCAGAATGAGGAATGCAGTCTATGACCACAGAACCATTTTTTTTCCTTTGTAAGCCTAATTGGCCAGTTAAATAATTGAATTCACAACCTTGACCTCATTAGTAATCTGTCCTAGCCAGAAAATATAAAACAACCTAATAACGAGCCATGTAGTTTAATAGAAAAAGGACTCGGCTAGGAGTCAAGTTGTATACATGTGTTCTATTATTTCTCTGCCACTAGCCTATGGTATTAGGCTGAAGCCATTTAAGCTCTTGGGATTTTATTTTATATAGCCCTGAGAGTAGTGAACCAAGGACCACTATGACCCAAAGCTCTAAATCCTTTCTGAATTTTATGCCACTGACACTACCTACAAACATGTGTAAAACTGCTTTCATTTATTTTTTTAAGATTTTATTTTTGAGTAATCTGTACACCCAACATGGGGCTCGAACTTACAACCCCAAGATCAGGAGTCACATGCTTTACCGATTGAGCCAGCCGGGCGGTCCAGAACTGCTTTTAAATTTATCCTTAAGATGGAATTAGTATCACGTTGGTATAAATGTAGATTTGATAAACCACCTTTTTAAATAAGTACTCAAACTTTACCAGATCACTTATGATTCTTTAATGTTAGAAAATAATCACCTGAAACAAATGAAAATTATTGCTGTTCCTGTACAAACATGCGATCTTAGGTTTCTTGACAAAAAGTTTATTTGTACATCCCTGAAGGAATTTAAAGCCGCTCTATTGATGTGCTTTGCTTTCCTTCAAAATTTGGGTCATTTGTTATTCTCCACATGTTGACTGACTTTTTATATTAAACCTGTGTCCTTTGGATGTAATCTCTATCTCTGTGAAAGTCTCTTGGTAACAAAAGATTCAGATATTTAGCTCGACATCTCAGTTGGATGGCTACCATATTTCTGTGGCTAAGCCACTGGGCGGGGCTAAGGATGCTAAACTCATTAAAGGGATAGATAGAGTGCGTGGCTCTGTTGGGCTTATGATACCTGCCCCAATTTCCCAATGATATATCATTCTCTGGATTAGGTGGAAAAGGAACTAATCCATTGATTATTTTACTAGAGTGTTTGTGGTACTCTTGGATCTTGGTTTTTATTATCCTATATCCCTTATAAAGCATGTTTAATGGATTTGCCTCAAGGGAAAGAGAAAACAATCTTAACTGATTATGTTATGCATAGCTCTCCCTGATGCCACATGCTGTAGGCCGGGTAGCCAGAAGTGTAGATAGACCTGTATTACTACCGCTCTTACAGAGGACTCTGCTCAGGGCAAAAAAAGGTTGTTCTATGACATCCCAAAGCTATTAAGGATTTTTTTATTTCACTTTTGTTCTCTTAAGTAAAAGCTTCTGTCCATAACCATGGTAAAATAAAGCAAACCCCATTTAAAGAAAAATGAAGTGAGTTTTTATTTTCAATCTCCGTCTGGCTCTTTATAAAAATAGATTCACTATAAACCAGAATCAGCTATTGAAGATGTGCGACCAATTTTGTAAAGTCTTGAACTTGTGTCTCTCATCAAAGCCACCTTTTCTTTCTTGTCCTGCCAACATTTTTCCACTCACTGTCAGGCATGTTTTCCGTACGTGTATATTACATCACCCCCATGTGCCCTTTCTGTCTTTTGTTCTGTCTAACCAGTTTTTATCAAAACTTAAAAGAATGAAAGGTATAAACTCCTGAGATGTCAAAAGCACAACTTATGTCTAAATTTAAAGGTAGCATTAAAATAACGCTTCTTGCATCTGATTACTTTCTGCCATCAAACACGAGGATTTCTTGTCCGAAGCAGCATTTAGTGGCACATTTTGGTTCCTCTGAATTTTTCATTGGGCTTTTTATAAATGTGTACCTGTGCATTCTAACCTTCTTGTATTTGTAGTATGTCTTAATTCTAGAGAAACTGAAAACAGTCCGCCTAAAACTTAGCAGTGCTGCAGTCTTAACACTTTTCAAAACTGTAACTTACTGTGGCTTGCATATTATAACCCACCACATCCACAATCTGTAGCTACATTTAAGTGCATACAGCATTCCTACATAAGGTCATGCGTTAAAAATTGCATTTGAGGAACATATGGAGTAAATATGTGTCCTCTCTTTACTAACCTTAAATGATAAGCCTTAGGAAACTGTTATTTGTCAGTGCTATAAAGCAGATTGTTGCCCAGTGGTTTCAATTATCATCAAAGGATTCTTCACAGGCAGTAATAGTTACATCAAAACCTGAAATTTATTATTCAGGTTCTGCACTGAAGTCCTCACAGTGATTATGTTCCTTTCAACAGAATGCATTTTATGCTGACTTCTCACATTCCTTTTCATCTTTTTATTATTTCCCTAGAATGGCCACCAAGTTAATACGGCTAGTTAATGACAAGAAAAGATATGAGCGGGGTGGTGGCGGCCCCAAGCGGCTGGGACGAGATGTGGAAATGGAAGAAATGATTGAGCAGCTGCAAGAGAAAGTGCATGAGCTTGAAAGACAGAATGAAGTCCTCAAAAACAGACTCATTTCAACCAAACAGCAACTTCAAATCCAGGGTTACAGGCAAACACCGTACAATTACGTGCAATCTCGTGTTAACACGGGGCGTAGAAAAGTGAATGAAAATGCAGGCTCACAGGAATGCCCCAGGAAAGGTAAAGTAAGCTTATATGGACTTATATTAGATCCTAAATGTAACTCTTTTAATAGGTTGTTTTACACACACACAGAGTTTTATTTCCATATTTTTCATGGTTTTGAGTAACTTTAGAAAGAAAAATGTTTTTGACTTGCTTTTTGATAAAATGTTAATATTAACATGAAGATCCTTTTATTCAAGAATCCCTAGATCACACCCAAATTTGTTAGGTAACACCTTGAACGTAACTCTTTATCCTGATACGGGAGATACATGTGCAACCGTAAAATAGAAGTTTAGTTTGAGTTGGTTTTCTGTGTTGCAGACGGAAATCGCATTGACTCAGGCAAACAAGGAAACCAGCTAGTTTGCTTATTTATAATCGCACTTAATTTCTTTGTCAGAAGGCTGTTTATAAAATTTGCAGGATTGTTTAAATCCTTCATCGTATGGCAACAGCATGACAGTGCAATATGGTATAACTAAGGGTTTCAAAAACTGGGTTCCTGCTCCTCTACTTACTGTCTGGTGACCTTGGACAAGTCATCTGATCATTCTGACCTTGATCTTTACATGTAGGATAAAAGGATTTAAGCAAGTGACCATAAAAGCCTCCTCTGTCTCCAAAAATGATCATAGGTCAATCACTTTCCTCATTTTGAAAATGAGTCCCGTAAAACATACCCAGGTTACAAAGCAATTCAGTTGCATAGATGAAACTTAATATGAAAAGAACCTAAATACTTCTAATAAAAATCCCCAATTCTCTCCGCCCATGATGAACTTACTTATTTATGATGAAGCGAAAAATCAGTATGTATTTTAAGTAACATTTTTAAAATTTCATCAACTAGGGAAGGAAATAACATGATAGCCGTAATTGATCTTTGTTTGGAACATGCTTCACATCAAGACCAAACATTTTGAGGGACACAAAAAAATCATGTAAAACTTTCATTTCAATTCATTGAGGAGAGGAAAAAAATGCCATATAAACAGAAAAGGAGAAAATTTTGTTCTATTTTTTTTCTCCAGACTGATTATTGACACTATCTCTTCCCCAGGCAGAGTTCCCTGGAAGTCACCAAGGCCTCCACCTAGGAGACAGCTGCAGGATGGCAGGGCTTAGCTACTCTAGCTTGTGAGGTTGGCAACAGACTGAAAATAACCAAAGCAATCATAATGAATTATAAATTAGAAAATTATTCTGCTGCTAATTAACATGGAAGAGAGCACTTGACCTCTCAGAGCCTCATTCTTCCTATCTGTAGAATGGAGTGATAACAGCAGATTAGCCAAAGAGTCGAGAGATGGTAACGCCATGGTAAAATATGTTACCTTTCAAAAGTCACCTATCCACTCCAAAACGTAGTTTTGGCATCTGTGACTATAGCTGGGCAAGATGATCTCTAAGGTCTGTA